AGGAATAAATTACATTTTAAAATATATTCAAATAGAAAAAATATTTCACAATATTCCTGTTTTAACTGTATTTTTGATCAAATAAATGCAGCTTTGGCAAGCATATAAGACTTTTTTTTAAAAACACCAATAAAATCTTACAGTCCACAAACTTTTAAATGGTAGTGTGCATTTTGTGTACAATTTCTGGTTTGTGTCATCCGTAGCGCACCATGACTTCGGCCATTTTTATGGCTCCAGCTATGTAGCTGCAGCTGACGGCAGCAGATCCCCAGGATTATCCAGAACCCGTGATGGCCTGCTGGTGACAGAGATGGACTTGAACCTAAATCGCCAAGTTGCAGACAAATGGAATTTCAAGGTGGGATAAAACAATAAAAATCACTATCACTACATGTTCAACTTTACATTTCATCAGATAGAGGTTAGATAGTCAATAAGGTTTGTCTCTGGTAGCATATGCATGCCATTCACATGTGTGAATCTCTCCGTAGATGACTGGGAGGTATGAAACGTACGCAGAGGAGCTCAAAAAAGCCATCCAGCATGACTTCAAACCCAACATTGTTAAGGAGTGAGTTTATCAGGAAAACATGAGTGCCAAAAGCCCTTGAGAGGAACCGCACTTTCAGCTGAAAGCCATGCTTGGCACATGTAGGAGAACCACATTGTGTATTAGCGATAAGTCCTTGTACCTCTACTTGAATTTCACAAAATAACTTATATAATTTATCAGTTCATTTTTAAGGTCAATAATGGAAGGATGCATTTGAATAAAATACAAATCCAACTTTTATTAATTTCTGAAATGCAACTATATATTTCATAAAAATAAAGTTTGCCATATCAATATTCCTTATGTTCTTTTAAAAAAAAGCACAAGCTGATGTAATTAGACACCCGATGTCTTAAAAATCAAAGAAAAAACAACATATAACCTGAATGATCAAAGATTAAATAACATAATTATGGCTGGTGGAACAACATAGTGCAAGCATTTCATTTGTCAGCCATTGTGTCACAAACAATCGACGATTGAACCATTTGAACCACTGAGCAAGCATAGTGTGTTTACAAGATAGCAAACAGCAAAGCGTTCACAACACTGAGTTCAGACCTTTTCAAATGGTGCACAACACCTGACGGTAAAACTCTAACCCTAGTGTTCCTGTTCTCTCTCGGAGGAATTAACCGAGTGTAGTTACTATGAATTACGCCAACACAATATAATCATGAGAATTGACCAATGTAATACAGTAAATTACACAGAAACAGGTCTAATACTGTACTAGTGCTATGAGCGAGTTTAAAATGTATTTTATGATAACGGATCGCAGTTCAGAGTTGCCGACAAAGCAGCCAAACGCTCTCTTGCTACTCTACATGAGGTTATGACAGACGTCCAGGTGATTCTGTTCTCGAGGAAACCCCTGGAGAAGTGAATCCACACATATTGCACCTATGAAACTTCCCCCCCCGACAGTGGGATATCATTTAACATGCTGGATTTATCAAATCTTACCTGAGTTTTTAAAAACAGCTTTTCTCTTTTACAATAATTAAAACCTTTAATTGTGTTAATTAAGTGGCTTCCAAGAGAAAAATAATAAAAT